CCACATAGACGTGCAAGTTTCCCCTCGTTAGGCTCAATGGCCAGAATTCAAGTCACAACCCTCTGGACGGCTTACGTGTTGAACCCCTGAATTACGTGCACAAATTTCAACCTCACCGAGAGACCAAAAAAGGAAAGTGACCACACCTGTAAAGCATCTTTTCCTGCAGGTGTGGTCACTTTGGTTTCTGGTGAGGTCAACCTTTGTGCACTTAATTCATCGAACTTGAACAGCCGTTTATGCCCATGTGGCTTGACTTGACCACGGTCCCGGTTGGGAGTAACGCGCGACTCTCTAGGTGTGAGCTGAGTCCCCCTTAATCGTTGTTGCTTTTTCTGTTTCACCAACTAGTCCCCCATTCGGTCCCCTATTTCATGCGTTCTTCCTTCCCTAGGTAGGTTGGGTCCTGCGCGTGCCGAGGTAGGCGTAGGTTTTCGCTGTGTCAGGTTGGTTCAGGCGCTTCCGTCTTCCCCCCCTCCGCTGGTCTTGTTCCGTGTCCGTCGGCCTCCGGTTTTCTTTTCCATTGCCCTTTCAGGGTTTGCCCGCTCCGGGCCAGGTGTGTTGGTGTGTGTTTGCTCCTTCCCTCTTCTTTTGCGTTCCCCTCCTCGGGTCCCGGTTAAGAAATCTTTGATCTCATCTTCACTTTCATCGCATCATCACCCCCCTACTCATCCCCATTTTCACCTCATGTGCCCGGACACCACCCTGCCAAAGGCAAGGTGTGTGTGTGTGTGGAACGTCTGAACAGACGAAAAACTTCGTTCGTGGCTCATCATTATATATATATATATATTATATTATATTATATTATGTTATGTTATGTAATATAATAATATAATATTCGTAACAGTCAATCCGCGCTATATGTTGAAGCCACCTGCTTTTCTGAGTCCACGTTGCGTTTTCAGTTCTCGCGGGAACGAGAGCACAAAAGTAGAGCACCGTATAGAATTTGACATGGTTTGGTTTTGTTTTTTAGGGTTCATCATGGGCGCGGTTGCCTATATGCTGGGTTGGTGCAACCACCTAGCAGGCAACTCAAAACATGTGAATTTTGACAACATCACCCAATATTTTACCATGCTGCCCTGAAAAACACATGTTACATGACCATTTCTTTTCTTTTTCGGGTAAGCCTGAGACATGGCTTTTGGCCTTGGCTTGGCTTGGCATTTCCACAAGCAGCTGGAAGTTGTGGGTCACGCAAAATAGTTTTACTTTCCAACTCACCTTACCAATGATTATATTCACCTCACCAATGCTGTAATTTCACGGGGGGTGCAGGGCGGCAAAGAAATGCGCATGATTTAAACAACATGTTCATAATACTTTTACTTTTTTTTGGGGGGTATGAAAATGATTGGGCTAGGGGCTAAGCCTTGGCTGTGCCCAACCAATGGACAACACTTCACAGGGCCAAAGTTTAGCAGGAAACCAAAAAATTACAACGTGGTGGGATATTGTGGAAGTTGCGTCTTTGCTTTAGGCCGCAGTTCAAGTGATTGGCGCTATGTGCGCCAGCGAGAAAAAGGGAATCTTGTTGCCAAAACACCAGGAAATTGCAATGATGTTGCAGCACCACAGTGGTTGAAATGATGAAACAGGGAGAGACTACTATTAATGAATCATTCAGTGTTGCTGTTGCAGTGGTTGAAAAGGCAGACCACAGTGAGGTATCCCTCTCATCAATTTGTTCTTTTTTCCCCACCTGCTGTCACAAGCAATGGCGAAGCGGTCCAGTGATTCTGATTGTGATTCTGCTGCCAGCGCTGCGTCCAGTGGGGGATCTGAAAGCAAAAAACAAAAGGCAGAGATAGCAGAATCAGTTCGTTTGTTGAAGGAACTTCTTAAAGAGAGAGACCAGGAGATTACCAAGTTGCGTGCTGAGAAGAAAGTTTTGCAACAAACAGTCCGGAGACAAAAATCAAGACTGGACAAAATGGAAGGGCAACTTGAAGAGGAACGCAGTTCCAAACAGAAGTCTCTTGACATCAAACGAGTTGCTGACAAGACTGGTCATGTTGGAAAATCCGGGAGCTGGCTGACCCCATCCGGATCAGTCAGCCTTGCGGTTTCTAGTCATTTGTTTAGCATTCCCGGTTTTGTCATTCCATTGTTTGTGCTATTCATATACCAGTAGTACCGCACAAGGCGGTGGCGGAAGTTTCAAAAATAGGAAACCTATAGGAGAGATTGGTTGTTGTGAATCAGAGATGGCAGAGCGAAGCCACTGCTGGACTGAAAGGCGATTGATCTCTCTCACTCTTGTCTACCTGTCTATCCATCTACCTATTTATCTATCTATCTATCTATCTATTTATCTATCTGTCTGTCTACCTGTCTATCTTTGGTGCAATGTCATTCAGTGCAATGTAGTGTGGTGTAATGTAGTGTAATGTAGTGGAGTGTAGTTGTAGTTGTAGGTGTAGTGTAGTGGAGTGTAGTGTAGTGAAATGTAGTGAAGTGTAGTGTAGTGGAGTGTGTGTAGTGGAGTGTAGTTGTGTAGTTGGAGTGTAGTGGAGCGTAGTGGAGTGTAGTGGAGTGTAGTTGTGTAGTTGTAGTTGTAGTTGTAGTGTAGTGTAGAGTAATGTAGCGAAGTGTCGTGTAGTGGAGTGTGTGTAGTGGAGTGTAGTTGTGTAGTTGGAGTGTAGTGGAGCGTAGTGGAGTGTAGTGGAGTGTAGTGGGGTGTAGTGGAGTGTAGTGGAGTGTAGTGGGGTGTGGTGGAGTGTAGTTGTGTAGTTGTAGTTGTAGTTGTAACTGTAGCGTAGTGGGGTGTAGTGGAGTGTAGTGTAGTGTAATGTAGTGTCGTGTAGCGTAGTGGAGTGTAGTGTAATGTAGTGCAGTGTAATTTAGTGTAGTGGAGTGTAGTGGAGTGTAGTGGACTGTAGTTGTGTAGTTGTAGTTGTAACCTGTAGTGTTGTGAAGTGTAGTGTAATGTAATGTAGTGTAATGTAGTGTAGTGCAGCAAAGTGTAGTGTAATGTAGTGTAGTCGAGTGAAGCGAAGCAACATCTGAACCTCCAAAAGTGGTCCGAAACCCTAGTGTTTTTCACATTTTGGCTTCAAAATGTGCTTCGGGCCACAACGGCGTGCACTTTTTCGACATCGCAACTCCAAAAAGTGGTCCGAGCATGGTGCGTTTTGTGCATTTTGATTTGGTAATGTGCTTCGCGCCACAACGGCGTGCAATTTTTCGACATCTCAACTTCCAAAAGTGGTCCGAACCTGGTGTGTTCTGTACATTTTGATTTGGTAATGTGCTTCGCGCCACAACGGCGTGCAATTTTTCGACATCTCAACTTCCAAAAGTGGTCCGACCATGGTGTGTTTTGTCCATTTTGACTTGGAAATGTGCTTCGCGCCACAACGGCGTGCAATTTTTCATCTCTCATCTGGCCAGCTGGCTCCGCACCCGCCGCTTTAGAGAGCCTACTTTTCGACCCTCCGGAGCCACAAATCATTAGAAAAACACAGTGAATCGCGACTTTCTTATCTTTTCGCGCATCTACATCTTCTTTCTTCTGATCTTTTCTCTTCTGACTCTTCTCACCTCTGCTTTTCAACTGTCCATATTGTCGGAAGTTTAGCTTCTAAACTTCCTTCGATGAGAAAACATTTCATTTTTTATCCCCGACATTTTTAGCAAAGTTGTTCTAAGTGAAACATCACATGATATCGCGGTCTAGTGGCCACTTCCAAGTAGTCTTTCAAGCTTGAAGCCCTTACTTCAATGAAAATCTTTGCGTGCTGTTGTCCGTTCTTCCTTTCTCAGGTGAGACGCAACTGCAGCAACATTGCCTGCGACGACATGGGAAGGGTGATCCTTGAGGACATCAGTGCCCGCTCGGTTTCCCGAAGTGAAGTGAAAGCTGGGGCATCCCTACAAGCATCGTGTAAGATGCACTTTGAACAAATGAAAGAGGATATTTCTGAAATGGACCCGACTTGTTCAGCTATGTGTTTCTACGGGTACCGACAAGATGCAACCAACGATAAGAAAAAACGTAGCACTTTGGAATTGGACAGCTCCTATGTGATTTTTGAGACAAATGGCCCTCCTCCTTCTTTGAAGGATTCTTCAGTCAAGTTGCATCGGTTGAGTGATGTTTTGCCAATCACAGATGAGACAGCTGGAGGGACGGTGGGCTTCACTTTGAAAGCCCTTAAGTCTTTGGGTTGCCCGTCTTGGGATGCATGCATGGAAGAGCTGTCAAAGAAACTCATTTGAATCAGTGTTGTTTTCACGTTTCCTTTTTGTATTTGACTTTTTGGGCAGGCAATGCAGTGCTGGTCCTAGGCCAATAGATTTGTGGCTATATACCATTGTTGATTGTTGATAATCATTGGCTATCAGCCAGTGACAAATTCGTGGAACATTAAGCAGATGTCATACGTTACCAACAAGAGTTTTTCGAGTCCTTCCATTGAGGACCAATGTCTTTCATGTGTGGTTGTGCACTACGGATGGAGGGCCCAACGAAATGGCTTGCAGAAAAACAATTGCCGTCATGTGCCAAAACGCCCCCCGTCTATGGTATTTGGATGCCACCTGCATGGAACACAGCCATCATCTCATCACGATGGGGGGCTTGACACTGGCAGACAAGCTTTTGGCTGAGTTCGGTGGCCGGAATTGGAAATATTATTCTTCCATAGCCATGTTTACCAATGTAGCACGGGCGAACGCGAAGGAGTTGTACCACACATGGTGTAAAGTCTATGGGGCTTTATCTGGATTGGAATGTGTGAAGAAGTTGTTTCCTCGATGTTGTTCCACAAGATGGGGTTCAATCCACGTTTCCGAAGAAATGATTCTCAAAGCAGGTTGCGAAGGACTGAGAACTGTGCTTTGCATCCTGTTCGGTGAAAAACTGGGCCACATGTCAAAGAAAGCTGAACACACGAACGAGAATCTGAGCCCGGATGCATTGGCGATTGAGGCCATTGCAGAGTTTCAAAAAAAAATGGGGAAATGGCGTCGACTTACTCTGGATGTACTAGGTGATGCTCTTTTCCAGCCAGTGATGGAGGCCATGCACAGGCTCCGGGTTCCTGTGATGCGGCTGTCGTACTTTTTGAAAAGCAAGCTGACCCCGAAACAAGTGGAGGAAGATGGGGGCCATCTAACTGCACTGGTAAATTTCAAAGCTGCCGAGATCTTTGAGATGTTCAATGATTTGGCAGGACCCTTGCCTGAGGGAGCAACAATGATTCTTTGTCCAATCCTGCCTCAACCCAATAATAGGTATGTATTTGGTGTATTATTTGTTGTTGTTATCATGTTCAGGAAAACTGCAGCTGCGTAATTAACCCTGATGCTGATTTTTGCAGCGCTAGGAGCGCAGCAGCAAGGAAAATCCACTGCAATGAAAACACTATGTTATTCCTTCTTACTTGAGAAGTAATGTATGAATGATCTTGCTATTTCGGGGGTATTCCTCCCTTTCAAGCTCTTCAGACTCCTCAGACTCCTCACTGTGCCCAGCCTAGGTGACAGATGCTGGCATGCCTTGAGTCAGCAAGTGTTGTCGCGAGGGAATGGGGACGGGACACGGGAGAAGGATGCCCAATTTCTCCTGTCACTGGCAGCAAAGATTTTAGTCAACTACGCTTCTTCTTTTCGCCGGAGGGTGATTCAGCCAGTCGAAAGTTTCCCTCTCAGGCTGTTGAAGTTTGCAAACAAGTCATCAGAGGTTCTGAAATCTTTGGCTGATGAATTGCTGGACTCACACTCGTCAACACTTGACCATTCAGCCTTGAAATTCAGGGAAGCCTTCGAATCAGATTTGAAGTGCGTGTCTCAGAATGGAACTTTACCGCCGCGTGTTGCAACTTTTGTGAGTGGACTGAAACAACATTGGCGAGCAGATGTCCGTGTGCCTTCTTTTGGTGTCAGTGCATCTTTTGTTTTGCGTATCGCTTTAATGAATGTTGAGTTACTTTGCTTCCCACAATTCTATTGAAACATTGGTGCCTGTGACTACTACCAAGATGAACCCAGAATTTGGTTGTGGCCATCTAGTTGTAGCTGATGACTGATTGTCAGTCTCTCGTCTCTGAATGAATCTTTTCGCTTAGTCCTCAGGATTCGGAGAGAACCAACAAAATGGTGTCGATGCTGCAAGAACGGGCCCCCAACATCGGTGACGACCTGCTGTCAAGCAGGGTGTGTTTGAAGTTCTTCATGTCAGAATGTTGCGCTGGTCAAGGTTTGCAGGGAAAACGTTGGAGTCTTTTCAAGCCAGTTGCTGAAGCCCTCAAGAACCTGTGCTTGAGTGGCTGGGAGACCAAAGAGGAAATTTCAGGTGTTGCTGGTAGATTTGCACCCCCTGAGAAACCTGAAAACATTCCGGGGCTGGCGGAGATGAATAGAGAGTATATGAAAATTACTGGGAGAGCATCCGTGTCAGTAGCCAGCAAATGGGCAGTCTGTGTGAACATGACCCTGAACCAACAAATTGCTTCGAGTTCAGTGAATGAGTGCATTGCAACCATCATATGCTTTGGGGAGAAACAGCTGTCTGGTCGCGGAAACATTTACACACCTTACCTTGTGGCAGAAAAGGTGAGGACAACCATGCATTTGCTTCGCTGTGACTTCCAGTCGCATCAGGGTTGTGGTGGTGGGATCAGCAGGTCCTTCAAGGTGAAAGTCCCATTGCAGTTTACCACATCACATGATGTTTTGTCAAGCTTTTTTCAAGATGTTGTAAAGCGTGGCAAACATGTATCTGTGATGGGGCTTGGCGTCAATCATTTTGCGACGTTGGAAGAAGTTATGGAGGGTTCAGGCATTTTGCAGGGTACTATTGGCCCGACCAAGTTGCTTCTCAAGTTGACAAAGCCTGACTCAAAATTGCTTCGCCAATTGGGGCAGCAAACAACTGACCCAACACAGGGCCCAACGGACAGACAGGACCACGGTCAGGGTGATGTTCTCATGCATTTTGGCAATGCAGCAGACGCAGAACAGGCAAGTGATTCAAAAGATGTCGGCAACGAACAAAATGATTCAAATGATGCTGCGGCTGAAGGTTTGAACCTTTTGTTGGAAGAGGCTGAGAACGAACAACAACGAGTTGACCATGATGACATCAATGATTCGGGGAATGGTTCTGATCAACAAGATCAATCTCCTGACTGTGATGATGTGACTCTAGCTGACAACTTTTGCAGACAAGAGATCACTTTCGGCTCAGGGTGTGATCAGGCTCAAGATGATGCAGAAGAGCGCTCTTACGCGGAAGAGTTTGGGAAAGAAACTGGAGAAACTGAAGTGACAGAACAAGAGAACAAAATAGTTGACCAGATCAAACAAGCTTCATCCTATGTCAGTGCAACAAACACTGAGCTAGCAAATCCAATGGGAGATCACTTGACTTTCGAGGAAACAATCAATGAGGCTCTACTGAACGATGCAAGAGCTTGTGGAAATTTTGCCAATCTCTTGGTGGACAACAGCCAGAATGATGTGGGAACTGTGGGAACTGCTGGACACTAGGCTGGTTTCAATAACAACAACAAGGCTTCAGGTTTCTGACAGCACTCCCCAACAAGTACTCCATTTGATGTATTGTCTTTTGTTTCCTTGTTCCTTGTTCCCTCATTCTTCCAGAATTCCAACTTTTTGCTTTTACACTGCGTTGGTGTTTTGATGCTGAGGTTCTCGTCAGGAGCTGGCGCCGTCATCATCATCAGCAGAGGTTCCTGAACATTTAGGAACGTGGCTTTCTGACCTTGGCAATGCTGTGGCTGCGTTGGAGTTTCCACAGAACTTGACTCAAAACTATGATGACTCATTGGGTCTGGTAATTGTTTCCAGTCGTCAAGGTGAAGGTGAACGCTTGTCATTCTTTCAGTGGGTCATTCCGGGACAGACAGGTCGATGTGCTGATTTGGACGCTGAAAACAGAATCATTATGATAGTGCCTGTTGGCCTCAAAAAAACCCAATGAAGCCTACCGCCATTGTTTTGCCAAGCACAGGTTTGAAACTGGAGCGGGTCAAACGGAAAGAGAGACCATTGGTCCCTCCCGCACTATTGAGACTCTACAAGATGCTCGACTGTGCCATCCAACCACTTCCGCAGCCAGGGGAGTTAGAGGATCTATGTGACCAGCTGGTTTGTCAGTTCTGCCAAGATAGAAACCGAGATGATTCAGGCCCTGCAGTGATTTGTCCAATCTGTCTTTGGGCACATCACGCTGCTTGCGTGGAGAAATTCATTTGTGGGCCGCTTCAGAAGGAAATTGAAAAAGCAGTTGCAAATTCCTCTTCTTCATCATCATCAAATGCACGTGAGATGACTGACACTGACACTCACATAGATTTGAGTAAGCTTGAGCTTGGGCTGATGTTCCCAGAGCTTCTTCAGACAACTTCAAGGCAGGATGGTGCTGGTGGTTGCGTATTGGAGGGGCCTAACCTGAATCTAGAATACAGTATATGAAGTAGTCCGATCTGTGTAAGACTTGATAATGATTTGATTTGATGACTTGGTGACAATGATGTTGTTGACTATTGCCTATGTGTGTCATGTGTGTTTGTGTCGTCTCATCTCAATCTCTTTTTCTGGAGGTGGTGTGGGGCATGTCAGCTGGCAGCGCGCAGCCGGCTTCTTTCGACTACTCGTCTGGTTCCTATGTCTCCCATGGCTGCTGGTTGGTAGTGTTGAAGTTGGCGTTGCAAAGCCGAACCTTTTTTTCATGATTTCAAGCCCCAACCAAGTGCCAACCAAGCCAAACCATTGCCAAACCAAATCATACCTAAGCCAAGCCTGTTTTGAAAACACACACTGAGACCTGACACAGTGGCTTGCCAATGGCCCCAATGGCTATCGCTGGTACCAACTGAGGCCATGCCAGACCTTGATGATGCAGGCAGACCGGCAGATCGGCTTGGTTCTTTTTTGTAACCAGGTGTCTGGTTTAAGCATTGCAAGAAATATTATGAAGCCAATCTTCCTTTTCTTTTTCTAGCCCTACTTGGTGTCTGTAGTGTAATGATGGTTCAATGGTTGGTACGCAATTTCGACAAACATAATTATTGCGATGAGCAGTGATGAGCCTTGTGAGCCAGACCAATCAGTGACTGAATCGCAATCAAGGAGCGCGTGAACACTTGTGGATTGAGTGGCCCGCCGGCCCGGGCTCTCAGGTTCCCAGTGGTAAGTCGTAACCAAATGTCATGTGGTGTGGATGATGAGCTTTGGAAGTGATGTGCTTTGAAGCAAATCAGACTGAAGCAGTGCAACCACGCAACCCACTAAAATATAAATTAAATTGAAAGTTTTCCCAGTTTTCCAACAAAGTGGTGTTCCATTGTTCCATTAATATCAAGCTTAGATTGGATTTGGCCATCAGGGTGATAATTGCTGCCAGGCGCTTGACAGGCAGCCACATGATCATGAATTATGATCACAGTAGTTGTTGCCTGTACAGACCCTGCAACACTGAAGTTAAAACAGCAAATGAACAAGTGCAATATTTGTTCAAGCGTTTTGTTCCCTAGAAGCCTTAGTTCGCAAAGTCGCAAAGCTTTGGGGTGAGTGAATGTGCTTTGCAAACTCAAAAACCTTTAAGGGAAGTGAAAAAACAGAGTGAGAGTAAGTTGCCATTGGGCCATTGGTCTCCCGCAGTGCATGCGGTACTGCCAGTGCGGATTGAGGATTGATGCTTTGGCTCCAGATCACTAGACCCGTGGACTTTCAACACGTGGTGTGACGGTGTGACGCTTCAGAAGGTCTCGCAACTAATTACTTCCAAAACCCAACATATGATTCAACACATGTATACAATTATACAATGTGACACTGTGAGAATGACATTAAATTAAATGAGTAAATAGTTTCCAGAAATGATGACTCTTCCCTTCACATTGCAGGCTCCAAAGACACTGAATCATTGATCATGGACCACTCACCTGTCCACATGGTCACGGATCGCAATGACGATGACGACGTTCACGTTGTTGTTTGCATTGACCTCACGGTCACCAGTGACTGTGATGATCATGATGATGATGATGCCAGCGCCAGTGACTGCACCAGTTCGGACGTTAGCCTGTGCCAACCTGACCGAACATCTGATGCGTCAGATGTGTCAGACATGCGGATCACATCACAGCCATGCCCATGCTGTGAAAGCTTGGGTCGATGCGGGTATTGCAACAGAGACATCCGCCGTTTGAGACCACCACCACGACCACCACCACATAGTTCAATCGTAATTGCTGGAGGGGCCCCTTGTGTACAGTTCACTCGGACTCGGGCATCACCGCCTGGCTCAGAGATCTCAGAGTCAGAGACTGACACATCTGAGACTTCAGAGACGGAGACCAGTCTCAGTGCTGCCAATGAATCTTCAGATGATGATGATGCCAGCGCCAGTGACTGCACCAGTTCGGACGTTAGCCTGTGCCAACCTGACCGAACATCTGATGCGTCAGATGTGTCAGACATGCGGATCACATCACAGCCATGCCCATGCTGTGAAAGCTTGGGTCGATGCGGGTATTGCAACAGAGACATCCGCCGTTTGAGACCACCACCACGACCACCACCACATAGTTCAATCGTAATTGCTGGAGGGGCCCCTTGTGTGCAGTTCACTCGGACTCGGGCATCACCGCCTGGCTCAGAGATCTCAGAGTCAGAGACTGACACATCTGAGACTTCAGAGACGGAGACCAGTCTCAGTGCTGCCAATGAATCTTCAGAGACTGGTGATCCGACGCCTTCGACGCCAACAGACTGAGTGAGTTTCACCACCATACCGGGTGCGGTGCCATGATAGAAAGGATTCTCCATCCACTGGAATCCTCTGGATTGCAGCAGGGGCAGAACAATCAAATTTGTTGATATGATATCAAAATCAATGATCCATTGGCCCTGACCCATTGAGCCATTGATGCCACCATTCATTCAGTTCGCAGCATCAACATTCTTCATGCTTTTCTGTATTTCTCATTTCTCCTCCTAGCTAAGGCCGCACCATGTCTGCTGATGCAGGCGTGCTTTTGCTCTTGGTGTCAAGCGCTTGTATCATGTTGTGATGTGATGCAGCGATTAGGTTGACAGGTGATCATGAAGGTTACTAGATTGCCAACGGCGCCATTTACAACCCGATGGCGAAACGCAAATTTTATGTTATTCTGACGAAGATGCTACGCCAGAGATGGGTTGGGGTGGAGTGGGGTGGGGATGTTAACGTTCATGTTAACTTGCGTCACATGCACAACTTGCGTCACGTCACTGGGGTGGGGTGGGGTGGGGATGTTAACGTTCATGTTAACTTGCGTCACATGCACAACTTGCGTCACGTCACTGGGGTGGGGTGGGGTGGGGATGTCAACGTTCATGTTAACTTGCGTCACATGCACAACTTGCGTCACGTCACTGGGGTGGGGTGGGGTGGGCATGTTAACGTTCATGTTAACTTGCGTCACATGCACAACTTGCGTCACGTCACTGGGGTGGGGTGGGGATGTTAACGTTCATGTTAGTTTGCGTCACATGCACAACTTGGGTCACGTCACTTGGGTGGGGTGGGGTGGGGATGTTAACGTTCATGTTAACTGGAAGTTGATGTTACGCCATCTGATCGCGCTCGCCTTTGTGCGAGTCGGACGGATTCCTAGTAATATCAAAGTACTGTAGAACTGATCAATGCGGGTCGGCTGAACAATGATGAAGTTAGATCGCCGTGTCGACCAACGCTTGCTGAACCAGATCAAAGCCTTCATGTACAGACATAACTCAGGTCATAACCTGTGGAAGGAACTGAGAAAGCTTGCAAAGAAGCGTCGACGGTGAACAACTTGCAAGGGTAAGTTGAAAAATCAGTTGTGCTGACTCACTGGTGGACACATGTGACTAAACTTGGCAAAGAGAAGAATAAAAACAATTATTTTTTCAGACGTTGTGAAAACCGATGAATGTTCCACACGAAACGCACTTTTGAGAGCAGCCCCCAGTGGCAGGACGATTTGATGTTTTTATCACGATTTTACAAAACCTTGCAAATACCATAATTTTGTGAACGAAGCATCATGAAAAATCCATGAATTACCCCGGGTCGCTAACCGCGCCGTAGCCTAGTTATTGAATTGTGCTTTGAAGTTGTGAACTTTCTGACAACTTAATAGTGATGCTTATGTTACTCACTACTCACCCAACTCCGCTCTGCAGGTGGTAGGGCCGTTGGGCCCTTTGAATCTGGCAGTCACAGGTGCGATTGTTGCCAGGTCCTTAAACTTGAACTTGACCTGTGTAATGCACACACCCATGATTTGTGTTGAGCCTTCAAGGTATGTGACAAATGAAGCAGCGTTGTGTCCATTTGAACTCAAAGCGTGTACGGTGTTCTATAAATCTCAGGCTTCATTTACCTGCACTTTGCATATGTATTTATTGTGTTGCGCTTGTGCTGTGTAGTTTTGTTCAATCCTGCCCAGGCCCAGATGAATACCATCTGAGGACAGTCCCGTTGTCAAGGCCTCAAA